GTGCAGTGTTGGTTACTCAGGAATTACGACGATTTCATGATGACGACGTTGCCCAGCCGACGGCGATCATTGGCGTAAGTTGGCATCGCCAATGCTACGATTAGCAGGGGTCTAAGCATCTGGGCACCAAATCCGTCCTTTTACACGCGCCAACCCAGGATAAATAAAGTGCATTAGAGTTATGCATGTCATTCCACAAATTAAAATAGATCTATCTTTGTCGACACTTACGACGCATGACATAAACTGGAGACAGAGATACCGTTTTCAGATCGCATACTATTGTTGACCGTCGCCGCGGTGAGCGATAAGCCCTTGATGCAGTCCCAAGCAAGGAACCAGGGGTAGGTCCCCTTATCACCCTGGAAAGTGGTGTGGTCTCACGATATATGTAAACAAAGTCAGAACAGCCACAAAGTTGTAAGTTTAATAATGAATTTAATGATATTCAGTACATCCCATCACGCAGCCTTTTAATCTATGCTACATGTTTTCATGTTCTACCCTGCAGTACACGGCCAGTAGCCGCTTCAAAGAAATACTCCCATCGTCCTCCACCGCTATGTAACAATCACTCATTTGAACTGGTCCTCCGTAACACCAGCACCCATGGCACTCGTACTCGACACACCACCCTGCACCATCTTCAACAACTCATCCGCGTAGTTCGCACCCGACCACTTCTGATGCTTCACCACATCCACACCGCCATCCATCTCCGGCTCCTGGACCAACTCGCCGTAGGCCCGCATACCCTGGTGGCTGTACGCGCTGCTGAACTTATCCGAGATAAGAGCAGTGGTGTGCAGACCAGCCAGGGTGATGAACTGCCAGCAGTACCCTAGGTTGGCGAGACGCTTGATGTACGTCTCCTGCTCGGCACGCGGCATCGCAGTCTTCCAGTTGAACGACGGCGACAAGTTGTACGCGAGCTTCTGCTGGGGGTACACGGCGTGGACGCCCTTAGCGAAGGCCTCAGCCTGCTTGAAATCTGGCAGCTTCGACTCCATCCAGATGGCGTCGGCGTATGGGGCGTAAGCAAGAGCGCGGTTGATGCCGCACTCGATGCCGCCCTTCATGCGGTAGTAACCCTCGCGGGTTCTCGGGTTGTCCCAGTCCCAGAATACGTCCTTGCCGACGATGCCGCGGGCGATGGCGCGGGCCTCGGTGTTGCTCTTGCCCTTGGACTCCTGGGTGAACTTGGCGATGAGGGACTTGGCGTTTGCGCGCTGGGTGGCGGTGATGGCGTCGGCGACGGCGTCGGCGAAGGTCTTGAGGCCAGCCTTGACGGTCCAGTCATCCTCGATGGCTTGGAGCTCGCCGCCGGTCTTGCCGGCCTCGAGGGCCTTGATGAGGAGCTCGTTGACGGGCTGGAGGTTGGGGTTGGTCGTGCCGAGGATGAAGGGGTGGTCGCGGGGGTCGATGGTGGTGGTGATGAGGGTGGCGGCCTCGGCGTCAGTGCGGGCAATGGCGAGGAGATCAGTGCCCATGATATCGGCCTGAGCTCTGATGGCAACGAGACGGTTGATGTGCTCGCTGATTGGGACCAGGACCTTACCGGCCATGTGGCCGCACTTCTTGGTACCAGGTGCCTGATCCTCAATGTGAATACCAGCAGCACCCTTCTCAATGAAGAGCTTGGTGAGCTTCATGACGGCGGTCAAACCACCGTGTCCGGTATCGGCATCAGCAACGATTGGGCGGAGGTAATCGATGTTGGCCACGCCAGCGCGGTTAGCCTTGGGGGTGGTAGCACGCTCCTCCCGCTGTTTGCGGTCGTGGAAAAGTTGTGCCATGAAGAGCTGGTTCACTTTGTTGGGGACGGTGGTCTAAGTCTGTTAGCGATGATCTTGCTGCTTCAGTTATCATATAGGGCAACTCACGTATGGGTAATCAGCCAAATCTGGGCCGGGCTCGTCGCTCGCCGAAGCGGTCGATGATGATTGCCAGCCAGAGACGTAGACGGTATCAAGGTACTTCGCCATCTGGGTCAACATCGTTGGCTCGAGGCAGCCGTATGTGTAACTCGCATCTCCCTCCTAAGAATCACATGTCAGTGCTACATTCTCACCACCGCAGTGCCACAAAAAATACAACATACCTTGAATCTTTGCTCCAGGATGTTCCAGAGCTTCTTCGACTGGTTGTTGCTGGGGTAGTTGATCTGGATTGTGCCCCTCTTCGAAACGATCTGCTCGGCAGTGAACGGCCTCTTGGTCTGCCTCCATCTCGAATCCGACCACCATTGCTTAACAGCGGCAACCTCAGCAGCAAAAGCCGCGTCCTCCTTCGCCAAATCCGCAGGCGGCGCCGCCATCTTGTTCGAAGCCATAATTGAGGTTTTTGGGGTCGCGTGAGTCACGGGTGTAGGTGGGATATATATATGATGTCAGAGGTATGGGATGCGGCTATTGTATTCCAAGGTGAGATGAGGAATACAAGTGAATATAAATTTCTACAAGCAACGGTAGAAATAACAAAGGGTTCGATCTGGGTAATCGAGTAATATATAATACAATAGAAAATCCCCGCGAGGGGGCAGGACCTCGTGGTATATATGACTCCTTGAGCCGTGAAATGCCCCACGGCCGGCACGAGGCGAAAACAGTTCCAGATCTGGCTCGGGAAGGGTCGGCCAAAGTACCTCTTTCTTGCGCTCTCCCGACATTTCAAAGGCGAAACCTCTCATATTTCCTGCTGAGCTCAGCAGGATTCACGCCGATACACCAATGGCATTCGTCAATTCCCCAGAGTTTGGGGTTTCGTGGCGTACCACCAAGGTCGGCGGTCAAAACTTACCTCGGACATTCTAAAGTATATACCGAGAACAGCTTAGTGCGCTTATCGATTATTTCCGGGCCAAGGGACATGGTTTTGGAGAAGAGCGCGGCCTCTGATTGGCTAGATTGGTTGTTATGACGTTCTCAGCGACCCCAAAATTCCTTGCATGTGAATAACACGGCTTACCTAAGCAACGAGGCTGATGTGCCCAAGCCTCCCCACTACCAAAATTCGACATTTCGCAGCGCTATCTTCAATTGAATCAAACCTCGGCACAAAAGGCTGAGCACCTAGAGCGCCGCCAGACGCGAAAGCAGGTGAGGAGTCCACATGAAATCGGTACCTGAACATGGGCCCGTGAGTATCTTGGACTTCTTGAGTGTGTATGCCACGCCGACAGTCGCTCCGTTTCTACCCGGGTGACAGTTTGAGCTGCGTGGGTGACTGCTTGGGTTCGGAAGTACCCCGAGGATTTTGGAGATGGAGGGTTGCTGCAGCATATGGATGGCTTCGAGAAGGCGTACAAGAGTCAGAGTAACCAGTGATCGTCGGAGCAGAGTTGGGGTAGGATTTGGGGGTTTGGAGACAGACATATGCATGGGTCCCTATGGGGTCACGGTATTGGGGTTTATATAGTAGCTCCCACTGATGGCGTTCTATAATATACTCTCTATATAGAGTAGTCAGTCTGCCTCGGGAACTGTTTGCGAACTGGGGCTAGTCAAAGGTGGTAGAGGCGGGGTTGATGGTTTTACGTTGTGTTGTGGGATTTCAATATATTAATACCTGACTTCCAATAATTTACTGTTGAGTTGGAAACCTTCGAATTGAATAGATATAACAATGTCTTAGGATAAGAATATTTATTGATTTCTAATATTTTATATTCAAGTTTTAACTAAATACTTTCATATGTACTTGGAGTATGTGTATATATAAATAGTTGGTGATATAAAATAATATGGCAAAAATAAAATACGCGTATGGTATACAATTTCACTACCCTTGACCTTTGGTAACAGGTTGACTCATTTTTCTAGCGGTTGCTCTCTGAGAAATAACCTGCACGCGGCATTTTATTATTTTATGATACTTTGGCTTCCATTGACTGACGATGTAGAAGCCATGAAATGAGAATCGTTCAATATCTATCAACCCCCCTCCGGCGCATCCGCATCAAGTAGAAACATCTAACAACCATCTAACCCCTCATCCTAAACACCTAACAACCATCTAACCCCTCATCCTATTATCATATACACCCCCACCCTTCCCCGCATCCTCACAACTTACTCTGCACACACAACCCAATCCCAACCAAACTCAACGTCATCCCAATCCACGTATCCCTACTAATCACCTTCCCCTCCACAGACCAATCCCCAATAACCGTAAACAAAAACGCCAGCGAATTCGTAATCGGCACCGTAAGACTCAATTCTGTCATGCACCCATTAGCCCTCATCCCTTATCCCTCCCCCCCCTTCCCCCTCTAACGGAACTCCCCCGAACCAAACTCACCAGCCTGTCCAATCAACAAAAAGAACCACACACTCCCCGTCAAATTCACCACCAACGGCACCGCATACCGCCAATTGCGCAACAAATCCGTAATCCCAAAAAACGCGCCATACACCGCGCTCCTAAGCCGACTCCCCTTCACCGCGGCGGTCTCGAGAATCGGGTGAGCGGGCGGCTTGTGCGAGCGCGCGGCTGCGCGGATGAAAGGTGTTGTGAAGCCCCAGGCTAGGCCGATGAGGAGGAAGCCTAGGATGTAGTTCCCGATGGGGGCCGCGGGGGTGGGCGGGGAGGGGGTGGTGTCGGCCATGGCGTGTGGCGTTTGTGGTGGTGTTGAGGGGTTGGTGGTTGGAGTGGTGGTGGTGGTTGTGGTTTGGGGAGGCTCCGAGACAAGAGATTGGCTGGAGCTGGTGTTGGTCGTTATCGTTATCGCGGTGGTGATGTCAGCTTTCCCCACATTTGAGGTGTTGGGAGCTTGGATGCTATGTACGCTGTATGGCGTGAGCTTGTGAGGAGTACGGTATGCGTCATAAGGCAAAGAGGGGTATATTTTGGATTTACAATTTACACCATTATTCCCTCAATCACCCTTTAAATAATCAAGTTTGGATGTATTTGTATGTATATATGTGTTCGTTATTCGAGAAATGAGGAGACGTGACACCTATTTAATTCGGCATAAGGGCCACTAAGTCAAATCCGGCACTTTGGCGGAGTGGTTAACGCGATGCCCTGCTATTTCCACAGGAAGTATTTAGGCATTTCCTTCGGGAGCGAGTGTTCGAATCACTCAGGTGTCGATTTTTTTGCATTTTTGCCAGTTAAATCGTATGACTGTGTGGAGTTACTATAATTACTCTATCGAGCACCACTAAAATTGAAACTAAGCGAAATATGCTGGCTTCCTATTCCTTTTTTGGACGGGAGAAATATGGGGTCTGGATTTGATATTGTAACTCTACGAACACTGGTAATGGGACTAATACTGGATGAAACAAGGACTGTGAAGACGAAGTATACCCTTATTTTGCAGTACAAAATCCTTACAATCCAATCACGACAAAACTGAGCTCCAAACAAACCTGACATGTGAATCCCACAGCATGTGAGAGGCAGCGTGACCTTACCAACCTCCCACACCATCCCCCTTTCCGCCCCGCCCCGCCCTAAAGTGGGCAAAGTCAAACAACCCACCCGCTGCCCCGCGTTTCTCCATGAGTGCGGCGCAAGAAAATGCCTCGGGATCTCTAGCCACCCGGTCGTCACCTACATCACCCTCACGCAGTGCAGGCATTGGTTCGGTGGGCTACGGTCGGTCGTTCGGCAATGGGGTTGATCTACCGGCAGCTCCAGAGTCTATATACAATGGGATATCTCATGCGTTTTAAATGCATCCTCTACCCTACGACCAGCTTCGCCTTTCGAATTTCTTGGCGGCCTGACTGAGACTCTATCCGTCCTTATATCACCTTCCTCCTCCCACCGATCTATGTGCGAAAATGAACGACCGCAGCGACGATGTTCGAGAGTGCTTGCTAGGCCTTTCCGTATGAGTCATTGAGTGCATTGTCAATGGGGAGCTGGACATATACATTTCCAACGACGACGATGTGAAAAATCCCAGCCAACACGACTAGGCATCATCACTGGAAACGAGATTATAAGTCCAACTCCCGGACAAAGCGAGGTGACAAGACACCAGCGCCTCCAGCTGAGCTGCCATGCACTTTAAGAAACCCAACAGAAAGACCTGACAAGAACTCAAGGACACCGCCGCCTAGGCCGGCTTCGACATGTACACACAAGACATTTACAGCGAGGCCTTCAGCGCCTTCTGCATCCGCCTCTCAACAGCCTCCATGTACTTCTTGGTGGTGACGTAGCTCTCACGGCTGGTCTGTCCGCACGCAAGCGCCAAATCCTTGGTCATGATACCATCGACATCGACGGTATCGATACAGGCCTTCTCGAGGGCCTCGGCGAAGCTGACAACCTCGGGGGTGTTGTCGAGGGTTCCACGCTGGATGAGACCACGGGTCCATGCGAAGATGGAGGCGATGGGGTTAGTGGAGGTCTCGTTACCCTTCTGGTGCTCACGGTAATGGCGGGTGACGGTGCCGTGGGCGGCCTCGGACTCGAAGCTCTTTCCGTCGGGGGTAATGAGGACGGAGGTCATTAGGCCGAGAGAGCCGAAGCCCTGGGCCACGATGTCGGACTGCACATCTCCGTCGTAGTCTGTGAAAAAAAATTAGTAAGTGGACCCCTCTTTGTGCGTGGATGGGTGGACAAACTCTTGAGGGCCATGATGTATCCTCCGCTGGACTTCATCATCTGGGCGACCATGTCGTCGATGAGTCTGTGCTCATACCAGATCTTCTTGGCCTCGAACTCCTTGGCATAGGTGGTGTCATAGATCTCCTGGAAGATGTCCTTGAAACGGCCATCATACTTCTTCAGGATGGTGTTCTTGGTGGACATGTACAGGGGAAGGCTCTTGGAGATGGCAAGCTTGAAGGAAGCGTGCGCAAATCCGGCAATGGACTCATCGGTGTTGTACTGGGTCTGGGCGACACCACCACCGTTGAAGTTGTAGACCTCAATCTCCTCTGGCTTTCCTCCCTCGGGAGTGAAGACCATGGAGAGCTTACCCTTGCCCTTGATCACGGTATCCTTAGCACGATATTGGTCACCGAACGCATGGCGGCCGATGATAATGGGCTTCTTCCATCCCGGCACTAAACGTGGGATTCTTGGGATGACGATGGGCTCACGGAAAACGGTTCCTCCAAGAGCATTACGGATGGTGCCGTTGGGCGACAGCCACACTATGGTGAGTTAGTAAATTATATGTGATATGTAGATTGTGATGCCTACTCTGCTTAAGCTTGAACTCCTCCACACGAGCCTCATCTGGGGTGATGGTGGCGCACTTGACACCGACAGAGTACTTCTTGATAGCCTCGGCGGCATCAATGGTAACCTGATCGTTGGTCTCGTCACGGTACTCAAGTCCCAGATCGTAGTACTTGAGGTCGATATCGAGGTATGGGTGGATGAACTTGTCCTTGATATCCTGCCAGATGATCCGGGTCATCTCATCACCATCCAACTCCACCACCGGGTTCTTGACCTTGATCTTCTGGAATCCCGTCATTGTCGAGTATTGTAGTTGAGTGAAGCGCGCGAATGCGGATTTCTTGTTGTATGCGAGGATAGACGCCCTGGAGGCCTGGGAAACTGGTCGAGGTGCGAGTGAGGTAAGGGTCCGCGAGAGAACTGTTCGTGAGGGGTTCATGATGGCGGTAGGAGAGGGGAAGAATTTCCTCCACGTTAATGCAGTGTTCGGAGTAACACTTACGCGCCGTCGTCGGTGGTTGGCCGAGCGTGAAGTGGGATTGGAGTGATTGCCTCGGGAGTTCGGGTCCCGCGCTAGGTTACCCGCGGGGAAATGCGGTCGAGAGGGTGTGAGAAAGGGCTTAGGCAGGTATGAAACCCAAGGAAACCCAAGGAGGAAGGCAGAGACGACAGGTGAGGTTCTGGGGTGAAAGCGGAGTTAGTCCTCCGTTGCGTGCTTTGTGGGGTAATCCAGAGGAGAAACTGGAGCGAGAGATGATGATGATGATGCCTTTTGCGACTCTGAACGCGTACCAGGAGGTTATTTTGTATGTGAGCTCTCAGCCTCTTTTTCGCTGTTTCTGTCGCCGATATCGTAACTAATAGTGGGGTAAGGCAGTTGAATCGATGGAGAAGATACTGATGGAGTGGAGAACAAGTGGAGGTTTTGTAGTGTCGTCGTCAATCGGCTGAGACCCTTGGCTCCTTCCTTCGGTCCGTTTTAATGGTAGATATGGAAGGCTGGGGATCAGTTGGAGGTTGCAACCCCGATACAGCAGCTTGTTCAGCCTGTTATCCCGTTCATCCGGGTGGGCGCCAAGCTGGATTCTATGGCTTTTGAGTGTATAATATAATATGTAGATGTATAATTCGACAAATCGATCGATTTATGCTGCATGCCATCGATATTTGGTGGCACGTGCCTTTGGCTTCGGGCCGCATTTCGGACGGAGAAATTATTGACCCAGTTGAGCCCGGTTGAGCCAAATTGATCCAGTATAACAAGATCTTGTACGCTCGGCTAGTATAAAATATGCTTGGTGCTCAATATTTGAAGCTGAGCCAGTGTAACAAGATCTTGTACGCCTGGCCATTATAAAACATGCGTGGTGCTCAATAATTCAGTATCATTTGTCTTAACTAACCCCATGGTTCGCTGCCATGACATCACAATATAGCACATTAAACTCGATACTGAAGAAAAGCAGTATAAACATCCTTGGTGCTTGCTCAATAATTCAGTAAATAATTCAGTATCATTTATCTCAACTAACCCCATAGTCCGCTGCCAGCCATCCCATCGCAATATAGCACATCTTGGACTCGATGCCGAAGAAAACCAGTATTAACATCCTTGGTGCTTGCTCCATAATTCAGTATCATTCATCTCAACTAACCCCATGGCCCGCTACCACGGCACGAAACTATAGCACATCTTGAACTCCTTTCTGAAGAAACCAGCCAAATCCCAGACCCCCAAGCTATTAGACACACCCCATCCCTTCCCTCACGACGCCATAAACCCAAGTAGTAACAAATACACGGCATACCAGCCTCTCACAACCGCCGTAACAGCCCTACTTCTCCACCGCCAGCACCTCATCCGCCATATCAACATCCTCATCCCTCTCAGTCTTCTCCCTTCTGCTCCCCGTGCTCGCCCTCCCCTCCCCCCTCTTCTTCTTCGCCGCCCTGCTCGACCCCCCCTTCGGCCTATACCCCCCATCCTCATCCGTCGCCCCACGCTTCCTCTTCCCACCCGACCCCGTCTTGTCTTTCACATACTGATCGCTTATGCTCGCAAAATACTTCAGCCCATCCTCCTCCACGAACTCAACAACATCAGGCCTCGTCGGCGCCGCGATCGCCGCGCGCTTCCCGGCTCCCCTCAACGCACCAGGGCGCGAGACTGCCTTCTCGGCTAAGTCGGCCGGCTCGTCGTCCTGGAGGAAGATCTTGGGCTCGTGTTCGCGCAGCCAGTTGTACACTGACACCGGGTTCTTGAATTCCAAATCCTTATCGCTTAGATGTAAGGGCGCGGGCACGAAATGAGGGTTACTCGTGTACAGCGTCGGTTCGGAGGGGAGGTCCAGGTTCGCGTCTATGAGCGCGCAGTGCTCGTCGATGCGATCGACGGAGAGATATGCAACTGGCTCTGGCTTGTCGGGTCCGATTTCGAGGTCCTTGGCGATGTCGGGTGGGACGCCGGGGACGTTGTAGACGGATGGTGGTACGGTGGTCACTTCGTAGGGGCGATGGGGGACGTCTGCCATCATTGAGGCGAGGGACCTTTGTGGTCGAGGAGCGGCAGATCGCTTGTCTGTCATGGAAGAGTGCATGTACGCGTGAAGCTTGTTGTAAGATTCTTGACCACGGGTCATGCCCTTTTGGTCTGGGGAGGCAGCTGGAGTCGGCGGGAATAGTAGTGGGAGTGGTGCGAGGGAAACGTTTGGGGCGGTTGCGCTCAGATCGATGCGTTGGCTGGGGGGGAGGTTTGGGGAGTTGTTCATGTCGAGGAGGAGCTCGAGAAGGCCACTGGATGGGGTCAGTATGATGCAGGTATATGGAATTGGGCGAGCGTATTAGGTCGGACGTACTCGTTTTCTAATGCCAGTCGTCGTGAGGTCTCAGCAGCTTCCTGTTCTTGCTTGTAGAGCGACCTGCTCAGGTTCATCTTCAGGTCGAA